CCCGCTGCCGCGACCGCGCATTGTCTCATCAGCTCGCTCGTGCGATTTTTTATATCGCCTTAACCTTGTGCTGCCGGCCTCGTCTGATGGTTAACATACACCACTTAGCTCGCAACAACTTAAATACAGTCTTAATCCCTCACATTAAGATCCACTATTGATTATCTTCGTCTGTCGTTTTTAATTGTTTTGGGCAACGTTAAAAGTTTCTTATGAACTTTAATTTGTACCGTCGATGATGAGTTTTTAGTTTTTATTGCAAGGTGTTATGGGCGAGTTTTGAATGGTAACTTCGTTTTGATATGAATTATCGAGTGACGAGAATTGCGTTTTGTTTAAATCATTCGCAGCGACATTTTAAGCGTAACCTTTGAGCTTTTAAAATTACCTTGCGCGCAAATTATTTTTCTTATTAATTTTTAAATACCAATATATGAATATCTACGTGCTACAGCGGACTACTACGGCACTGCGTAGACAGTGTATGGGTCCACGTTAAACGCGCGTAATAATTCGCATAACAACAGGTCTGTTATTAGTTTTTGTCTGGCGGCATTAGCACTGACCTGCCTGCAGCCTGAGCCTGCGCATCTGAACCGGTTTGCGTCGCCTCAGATCCGAGAATAGATTGTGCACAAGCAATAACAACGATCTAGAATCTAGGTATAGCACACCGCCTAGGTAGTTGACGTAAACATTGCAAGCTGCAGAAACTTGATGATAATTCACCCAGTATACATATACATGAATTTTGTATCATAAAACTATTAGAATTTATTTTAATTTTGAATTAATTTGTATAGACAACTTATTACATATGTAAATGTTATAAAACAAAGTTGCTTTTCGTTACCTCTATTTAGAATGAAAGCTGAGATACAGATTTAAATACAGTTTTCACCATCATGTAAGTTATTTATTCCAGGTTAAGTTTGTGTTAGATATATCATTTTAATTTAACTTTAGTATACATGAATAAACAGCATATTTCTAAACCCTTTAAAAATCGGTTTTAATATTATTCCTTACCCAAAAAAACGTGTTTGTTATTTGGAGAATTTAATGTAGATTAAAATTAAATTTTACAGAATATGATTTTCACAAATAGTTTAGAAGATATAACGGTTGTAAACAATAAGCGGAACTGAAAAAGCAGCTCAGCAGCGGGGCAGGCGCGTCCGTGTTACAATGTTCTCACTGACATACGGGACATTAACGGGTAGTGTACTACTGATATGACAGAAAAAAACACGTATAACCTCTGCCACCCGGGCGAAGCCGGGCTGGTTCGCCAGTGTTACTCTGAATGAACACGTTAAGATATTTTTTTTATTCACAATAATATCTTGATTGCTAATAAATTAACGTAGAAATTTACGTAAATTGTGAAAATTAGCTCGAAAGTGATTATGAAGCGTATTGTTATCAGCTGTCAAACGTCTAAGGAAGACCACCTATTACATGTGTAGATAGACATGTACATATTCAAAGACAAGTTTAAATTGTATACCTTTAAATTAATTTCAAAAGGAGACGAGTACATTCTGTAGGCTGGTGTATAGTGTATTCGAAAATAAAACTTATTACAATGACGATAAAGATGTATTTCACTGCGCGCTACGTACAGCTACGTCGTTTCACGATTGGAAGACGTTTGTTGGTAAACACGAAGCGATAGAGCATTTCATGTGTAAGCAACGCGTGACCTAGAAGCCCTGAAACTAGACTATTCGTCGTCCTTGTCGCGCTCGCGTGTGACGCCTATAGCCATCCCCTTCGCGAATTTCGTCGGATACTACGCTCTTATTCATGCTCAACCTGAAAGTTGATTGAACTTTCAAAATATTTGAACTCTAACACAAACAATGGCTCTGTCTAATGTTTACAATATGTCAAAAAACAATTACATCGTAAGGATCGTATTGGATTCACTAATTCTAATTAGTCTTATTAGTTAATAGATTTATTTAAGTAATTATTTTCAAATTCAACAGTAGTAAAAAAAGTGAATACTTTTTTATTATACATATCCCGAATTCGGCAGATGAAATGCAATTTATAGTAAATATGGAGAGTAGACGTAGATGTGTAAGTCGTGGTAGTAGCGAGGCATCATTGTGCAGCCGGCACAGTGCCGTGTCGTGTTGTGTGGTGCCCTGCCCTGCCGTGTGGTGGCGAGTGCAGGGCGCGCCCCCTGCCGCCGCCCTCCCGTCTCCACTCGTATAGATTTTTTCCCATCGGGTCCCGTGCGGGGCTCCAAGGCCGCGCGCACTTCCGCCGCCTACACGTGCCAGGTGGAAAAACTGGTAGCGAAGGCCCGCCGCGCCGCGCCGGAGGTCAGAAAAACATTACACGTGGAGCCTCGCCTCGTGCCACTCGT